GGGTTTTCATACCTCATGACGGGCATTAGCCTGATCACACTGGGCTTTATTTCACGCACGATTTGTCTAGGCGATCATCTCCGCCGTGGCAATCTATTTGGTGACATGCGCAACACATGCCTTAACCAACGTAGTCTATGGAGGTCGACCACTTGCTCCAGAGGGCGACCGCATTTATCTAAAACTCTGCGCCTAACCTCAGCATTACTCGTCCGGCTGCCCCACTAAATTTGTGCAATGCTGCGGGGACAGCGATGTTCAAACAGAATAATAAAGGGCATGCATCCAATGAAGCATAGTTTACAGGTGATTGGTAATACAGTTCATCAATATGGTTCATTTTGACGAATATGCTAGAAATCTTTCTATGGTGTGTGTGTGTGAGTTAAACCTGACACAATAGAGTACTCAATAGGGGTCCAGGTTCAATATAGGTGCAATAGGAACATCGAAGATGATTATATATGAAAGACTATGATGGAAATCATGCCAGAACATTGGCTAGGTGTACTTTAACAATACGCAAATTCATGTTCTGTCGAGCTCTTGAAATATTTTAATGAGGTAAGTGCCGTTCATTTATGCATATAGTAGACCATTACTTTACGTGATTCATTCCCATAAAAGACGATTGAAACCGATAGATGATAATTAAATCGTAATTCAGTCCTATAGACAACGTAGGAAACGGTGTTCACGAAGAAATTTCCTTTCGATATATCGCATCAGGCGTTTACATATATAAGGTGATCATCATACAGATATCCGATTAATGCTCAGTTAGTAACGATGACAGAGGCAAGCAAACAGAGAAAACTAATAGGACAAGACTAGTGATAGTCGTGGTGGCTGTGTGAAGCCAAAGATCAAATGTACAACATGAAGGAGATGGACAGATTAAAATAAGGGTTGTGAGCTAAGATGAGAGAGCGAGATGAAATTATGCTAGATACAGTAGAAATTATATCATGCATAGCAAGTAATGTAATCGGGAAGGGACATTGGAGACAAAAATAAAGTAATTAATTAGTTAGTAAAATAATTATTGCAGCGTTAAATGTAATAGGCAGTTTGCATCTACGGAATATGCATTTGGTGCAATGGATTGTTGGAAGAATCGATTTTGAAAGAGCCATTGATTAAAGTGGACCGAGGTGTGCTTGATTTTAGTGTGAATCAATGCATTGTTGGATATCGTTTAACACACGTTCGTTGGGTTTGGATTGAAATGAAATACGAGAAAAATTACCCTGTCGAGCAGGTTGGCCGGTTTTCTTGGTATTTCACGCATCAAATCACCCAGTCCACGTGTTTGACTTTTAATAAATCATCATTTCACTTGACGAGTTGTTCTTCCGGTTCTGGCCACACACTAACGCAAAACACTGTCAGAGATACGTGGATGGGGGAATATCACGGGATCATTCAAAGATCGATTGATAATTGGTTCATTGTAAACTGAAAGCACAAATGGGTGCCGTCTAGGTGATAGAAAAAAATGGCTAGTTATTGACGTGCTGTGACAACCGACTATTGATGATTGCGTTGATCCATGTGATCATTATTTCATCACATGTCGTGTAACGCTACAAGGATAGAATGAAACCCACGCACACATACGTAGACCCAGCTACGATTTTATGGCATCCCTCTAATTTTCCCAGTATTTCCACAATCCTATGCACGACCGCCGTCACTGTTAAAAATCCAAAATCATTCAAGTCTACCTTGTTGTAGAGAAAATATGTAGATAAAAATCACGAATTTGGCTGCGATGAAATAATTCCATCCTCTTTGACTTCGTTCATTCTAACCTGCGTTGCATATGGTTCACTGATCATTGCTTAAACATTCCACACACACACACCTTTTAGTCATTTTTCCTATGAAATTTTGAATCACATTTCTGTTCTAGTGTCTGGTCAGGGCTGTTTCTAATTCCCGTTTGGTAATATAAGATATGGCGTCTTGGAAAGCTCTTCTAGTTAAAATGTCT